CTTCTTCCAGTGTCTTTCCCTGGAGGAGCTGAGGGGACCGACGATCCAGACAGTCTGTGCAATTCTTCCTCATCGGCATAGATGGCAGTACTGTGCAGAGGAGGAGCTGTAAAAGCAGCACAACTGTTACAATGTGGCACTTGGCAGTTCCCTGGCAACAGGAACAAGCAATGGCCATGGCCATGACCAAGGTGCATCGCAAGAGTAACACTGCGATGGGGAAGGCTGGGTGAGTCAAGGGGGCTGGATTGTGATCCCAGTGGTTTGACAGGTAATGATGGAAACTGCAGCTATAGCATGTAATCTACTTTTGCAAAATGCCAACTTTCATGATACATGTTGTAATACGGGTGAAACTTGAAACTATCAATTCAAAAGGTCAAACATTGTAAGTTGCTGTTGTTTGCGATGATTGAATTGGTTCAATCTCGGTGACCCTCTCTCTACAACAGAACAGAACACTGCCCGATCCTGTGCTGTCCTCACAGCCACTACTATGCAGACAAAGTACAGGACACAAGTCTCAGGACCACTGTGGCTGTACTTCTTCCAGGAAAGACGTTTGTCTTCTGCTGGCAATTCATAGCACAGTCAATATTCATTGCAAACACCTCAAGCAATCTATCTCTTTGTTGAAAAAATCTCAATTGGTATCCCGTCAATTCCAAGAGTCTAATTTTTTTTTGTGTGGCTATTGTCTTCAGTGCATGCTTGGACTTCCTTCAATACCATCAGTTCTTTATCATAAGCTACCTCCTGAAATGGATGAACCACCACCAATTATTTTTGGTATAAAAAATCTGTACACTGTTACCTTTGATGTTTCCTGCACTGTGCAATTTTTTACTTATAGAAGGCTTCAACATTGCAACTTGAGGCTTGAATTTTCTTCAGTTCTTTCAGCTTAAGGAATGGGTGTTCTTCTCTTTGAGCGTCTAACTCCAGGTGGTCTCTGCACATTTCATTAAGAAACTTTACTATGTCTTCTCACAACATCCTCTGAAATCCTCCGCTCGGCCCCTTCATTTCATCGCTTCTTCCTTTTACTTTAGGTATCGTATGTACTCGAGTACACACCGAGTTTTTCAGCACATTTTAAATGCAGCTTTTGTTGTAAAACTAGGTGCCTTGGCTGATATTTGGGTCAGCTTATACTCGAGTATATACGGTACTCTAAATTCAAGAGTCTCTTCTGACATCTGCTTTGGTCTTTTCATTCCTTTTTAATTAACTTTTCTTTTTGGCTCCAGTTTGGCTCTTCAACTTACATTGCTGTTCTTTTTGTTGATTGATACTGAATTTCTCTATCATCTTTCCACAGACATAGTTTATTAATTTCCTGTGTATTACATCCGGCGAAGTCCACATGTACAGTTGCTGTTAATGTTGAAAAAGAAGTACTTATAATAAGCCATTGGTCTTTCCAAGATGCTAACATGTGATCTCCAATGCTGTTTCTCTCATCCAGGCGGAACCTTTTCCTGTGGAACCTTTCTTTTTATTTCCAACTTTCTCAGCCCAGTAATTATCAATACATAGTGATAGCTTATTTGACTTCAGGCTCAAAAGCTGGTGGAAAACTTGATTGTCTTAATCTTTAGTATTAGTGGTTGCTGTGCAGACTTGAATAACAGCTGTGTTAACTGGTCTTCCAGTAGGCCAGTGTTCCCCAAAGTGGGCCATACTGCTCCAGGGGTACAGGAATGAC